CTATTCTATTCTATTCTATTCTATTCTATTCTATTCTATTCTATTCTATTCTATTCTAGGTCTTAAAGTTGCCAAGTTTGCAAGATCCCTGCTCTAGAACTACCCATAACCAAGACCTTCTTATGCATTGTGTCAATATTGTTATCACAACTGAAGTCTTTCTTTTTGCCCAGGAGAAATTACATGGCAGGCTTTGGCACCACATTACCATATGCACCTCAAAGGACACATGGTGCCCAAAATGGATGATTGTTTATGTTTTTCAATGCCAAAGCCTTGATTAAAATTCAGTTAAGGTCCACATTAGATTCCTGCAATGAATACATTAATTATTGCCACTGATTAAAGAACCCATATTTTCAACCTTTACATTTTAATACCGGGAACTCAGAAGAGCTCGATGCTAAACAGTTTATTAAATTCAAATTAAAAAAATAATAATAATCTTGAGATTAATAATAAGCCTTATTATATCTATTATTATATAATAATAAACTGTTTTTTTAAAAAATTATATCATGAATCCTTTTACTGTGCATTGTGGGAACACCGTCCAGCAGAAGAAAGAATGTAGACTATTAATAAGTATGTCAATTAAAGATAATACACTTGTTAAAAGGTTATCCCAAAGCTGGTAATACACAAAGCTTTGTTTGAGAAGAAATTGGAGCAAATTAGCCTATTAACAGCTGTGGTTTTCTTCAGTTCCTAGACATGTTTCTATTTTATCTCTGTCCCACTCTAGTGGCTGTACAAAAACACTTCAAATGCCACCAGAAATTGGAACAAGGGATCAGTTAGCAGCCTATCTTTTGCAAGGTTTATGTGCAGCAATTGAACCGAACAAAATATATATAAAGCAACAAAATTGAAGTGCTTTCATTTCTCCAAAGAGCGGATAACACAAACAAGATTTTCCAAATCTAAGAAATATCTCTACACAAACACACACACAGAGGAAACTAAAGAGTGTTACAGCAGGGATAGGATTAATTCCTTCTTTAAAGGATTATCTGCTAGTTTATTCGGGGCCCAGGGCCCACCAATGTGTTTGAAAACAGCAAAGAAGGTAATATAGATTAATTATTCCTTAATAGGGGAAACATTTGAATGTGCTTACTTTAAAAAAAATAGAACAGGTAAAGTAAAGGTTCCCCTCGCACATATGTGCTAGTCGTTCCCGACTCTAGAGGGCGGTGCTCATCTCCATTTCAAAGCCGAAGAGCCAGCGCTGTCTGAAGACATCTCCATGATCATGTGGCCGGCATGACTCAACGCCAAAGACGCATAGAAGGCTGTGACCTTCCCACCAAAGGTGGTTCCTATTTTTGTACTTGCATTTTTTACCTGCTTTTGAACTGCTAGGTGGGCAGAAGCTGGGACAAGTAATGGGAGCTCACTCCGTTACGTGGCGCTAGGGATTTGAACCACCAAACGGCCGACCTTTCTGATCGACAAGCTCAGCATCTTAGCCACTGAGCCACCGCTTCCCTGTGAAAATCCATACAATCTATTAATTTCTCCATTCTCTGATCTACACAACTCCCAATATGTCTATGCCGATTGGACTCTGAAATCTTGGAGTCCTTCAGAAGTGGATTTCACCTAATTTTGCCACCGGTTCGCCAGACACCAAAATTGTGATCTTCCATGCATGTGAGTGGCCTTCCGCGCATACACTTTTCTCGTGCGCACGGCTTCCATGCATGCGTGTGACTCAGAAGATGTGGCTAAATAGGAAGGCATAGCGCCATGGTGGGCACTACCAGTTTGACCAAAACCGGTCCGTACCGGCTGAATACCACCCCTGGACTCCTTCTACCCAATCTGACATCAACAAAGATATGTAAGCCATGGGCCTTTGCCCTGGAGATGCAGCTGACTGTGCAAAGTAGCATTCAATGATTCAAAAAGTGGAAGAAGGAGAAGGAGAAGGAGAAGGAGGAGGAGGAGGAGGAGGAGGNAATCGGTCTAGTGGAGGTAATTGGCAGCAGGCGGTCTCTCAAGTACCCAGGTCCAATACCATGAAGGGCTTTATAAGTGACGACTAGCACCTTGATTTGTAGGTTCCACAAATGTACATGATGATATCTGGGTGGGTGGGCAGAACCTCCTGCCACCACCACTGCTGGTTGACCTGAACCGGATAGAACTGGCTGAATAGCACCACTGGACTTACATGCATTTTAGAATAAGCCCTATGAGTTGCTGAATTGATCCGTGATGCTGGGTAGACATGTGATCGTTCTCCTCAAAGATAAGAACGAAAAATAAAAAAAACACTCGCTTGGGTCTAGAGAAGATCAGAATCAATGGCTGGTCCTTGAATGGTCATTGAATCAATCACCTGCAGGATCTTGAGATGTTACCATTTTCTTGGGCAAATCTTTTTTCACTCTGCCTTTCCTCTTGGTTAGGTCTTGAAGTACTGAAGCATGTCATAACTCCACGGGTGAAGGCCACTTACATTGCTGTTGATACAATGAAGAACTACTTAGATGCCGTTTATGATATCACAGTAGCCTTCGAAGATATTATAGACCCTAAAGGACAAAGGAAAGTGGCACCAACCATGATCGGTGAGTAGAATTACTTTTGAATTACTTTTAAAAGTCTTCTCTTACCTGATTCAAACTGGGAGAATCCACATCCTTCATGGAATTTCTAGAACATTCAACGTGAACTTTTTCTGTGCACCAAATGATAGATAGTTGGGCTCATGTTTTTGTTTGACTTCTAAATTTCCAATTAATGGGTTATTTCCATTTTAGGCTCTCTTTCTACTGGCCAGCAAATGCATCTGTTTACATAAGCTAGCATTTAACTTGATTTGTTGCTGCACTAGATTTTAAACTGGGGAGAGTTCTTTTCTGTTTCTTTTTTATAGATAGTTGTGGTTATATTTTGTTAGTATATAGTTACATTAAGAACGGCAGTTTACTTTTGAGTGTTTATAAAGGTAAGGATAAAGGTTCCCCTTGCACATATGTGCTAGTCGTTCCCGACTCTAGGGGACGGTGCTCATCTCCATTTCAAAGCCGAAGAGCCAGCGCTGTCCGAAGACGTTTCCGTGGTCATGTGGCTAGCATGACTAAACGCCGAAGGCACACGCAATGCTGTTCCCTTTCCACCATTTCTACTTGCATTTTTACATGCTTTCGAACTGCTAGGTTGGCATAAGCTGGAACAAGTAACGGGAGCTCACTCCATTACGCGGTGCTAGGGATTCAAACCGCCGACCTTTCCGATCGACAAGCTCAGCGTCTTAGCCACCGAGCCACCGCGTCCCATGCTGTGACACATATATACACGAGTGTGTCTAGGCAGACATAATTTGTGATTTCCATGATCTGTCTCTCCTAACAGGGCATGATATAAGAGGTCTTACCTCTTATATCACAACGAATATTACCACATGCGAGGGCCAATGTGTTTCAAATTGATTCAAGGAGAGGAAGGGCAGAAATGGAAATAGAACATTTCATTCACACAGACCAGGCACACTGGTTGGTTGACTATGTGCCAGTAGGTCAGCGCCATTGATGGCAGACCACATCGATGGTTATTCTCCACGTTTTCCCTCCATGTACCCATCGCTGCTGTAATTGAGTCTACACCCCCTCCCTTATTGATGCTTTTTCCCTTTCCTTCCACCTTTCCCAACACTAGAGTCTCCTCCAGAGACCCAGTTCTTCCCAGAATGTGTCCCACATGGGATCATTTGAACCTAGTCATTTTTGTCTTGAGTGAGGTTCGTTCTGTGATCCATATGTTGATTTTCTGGGCCATTCATAATATTCTCAGAAGCCTACTCCACCATCAGATACGAAAAGCATCAATGCTGTTTCCTAGCCTGCTTCTTCAAAATCCGACTTTCAATTCCACAGAGTATCACAGAGAAACCCTTCATCTGATCTTTGACATTGGCATGTATTTTACATTTTCATTTCTATCCAACCAAGTCTCGTCTGTGGCATGTTTTTTATTGCTACTCCCTCCAGAGAGTTGATCCAAAAGCCATCCACCACTTCATTCTCTTCTTTTGTAGTTCTAAGCCTGATGCTATACCTATTGCCATTAGTTGGTCTTTATATGTAGTATTATTCCCTTGTCATCACGCTGCTGGATTTCACTGTTAGAGCTTGCAGTTCATAGGCAATCTCAGCACTCAAGAGTATAATATCATCAGCACAACACATTATTGATGTTTCTTCCCCAAACCATTCTGATTTCCCCCTGCTCAGAGTGTCCAAGTACATTTTCCTCATTGATATTTCTAACACTGGCATTCTAGTCTCCAATGACAAGCCGCACATCAATGTCAATTTCAGATTTAATATTCTACCTATTTTCAAATTTGATGTGACCATTAAACTCACAAACATTCTCTTCTTCCGTTATCAGTGGTTGGAGCACGTTAAAATAATCATAATAATATACTGATCAGCTTAAAGAGTTACCTGCGAAATCTAAGCAATGCAATTGGTCTTTGATTGCATTGTAGCCAAGAACCGTTCTTATTTTATTGTTTCTGACTGTAAAAATGCTGCTCTTCCTTCTTTGTTTTCATGTCCTGGGTATTGAATTGAATTGAATTTATTAGGTTTCTATGCCGCCCAATCCCGAAGGACTCCGGGCNGTCCTCATTTCACCCACCTCGGAAGGATGGAAGGCTGAGTCAACCTTGAGCCAGTGGGATTTGAACAGCCGAACTGCAGATAACAGTCAGCTGAAGTGGCCTGCAGTACTGCACCCTAACCACTGCGCCACCTCGGCAGCGAAGGAGAAAGGTGGTTTAGGGTTCACAAAAGAGATTAAGCCAGACCCCCCACAATTTGTACTAACAAACTTTCCAGGAGCTAGCCTCCAACTTGTTCATCATCCGTTTAGGAATGTTAAAAGCTAACAAATCTTGAACGTCACTTTAAAAGGAAGAATATAAATGAGATTTAAAATACAAGGTAACCATGTTAGTTAGCAAATTACAAAACCCATGTGGTTTGCCCCTCTGGGCTGCTGCAACGGACACATTTCTCCCTCTCTCAGTTCCCAAAAGATAAGAGAGGGAGGAAGATAAGCAAATACAGTAGCGGCTACTTCCTGCCCATTTCTTCCTGTGTAGCGTAAAACTAAGGTCCAAATATCATCGATGCACCACAGAGATAGGACTGACTTGCCTTTCAGTCTCAATGTTGTCACTATTGTCATTGCCCAGGAAAGAGACAACAGATCAGAAGTGGGGGACTGCAAGAATGTTGATATACATAAGTTGCCATGTTTGCTGCCCAGAATCACTTGTCGAGATGGGTGGCTAGAGAAATCAAATAATAAATAATCTTGATTCTGGCTGACCACGACTGAGCTGGCTGGCTGGCTGGCAAAAAGATAAGTGAGCAAATGCAGAGACACGGTGCTAAGTATCCGAGTTCCTTATTTCTGCCCAGAATGGGAACTCTTGTTTTTCTGTTGAAAATCAGTATTTTACCAAGGGGCAGATCCAGCTATAAAACCTGCATGGAGTCAAGCTTTATTCCCACTATACCACCACGGTCTCCTTTGATTTCTCTGAATGATCAAGTTACAGCTGCCCAGTAGGTGGTGTGCCTGTAGATTTGGAGGTTGAACGTTAGAATCTATCTATATTTGTTAGATGTATATGTCACATTTCATATAGTAAACTCAACACTTGTTCACCCAGCTTTTCTGACAAAAATCCGATTGAGCTGATGCCTGAATTACCAGAGGTTCATTCTGAAGAATGCTACTTCACTCAAATTACTATTCTTTCTGCTTGCATTTTGATATAACTGTAGTAGAACTGCCCCCCAAAATAGTTTTTTTGGGGACTGGGACTTTCTTTAATGAACAAGGGATTTTTTCCCCTTAAAAATGATTTTAAAAGTTTCTCCCCATTTTTTCAGAGTTAATATATGTGCTTAATCACTTGAATTAAACTGCATTAAATATGTGTGTGTGTGTATGTGTGTGTGTATATATGTGTGTGTGTGTGTGTGTGTTGCATTTGTGCTGATAAATAAAGGGAGACTAGTACAGATCTATTTCAAGCTGTTTAGCTCTCATCAGCTAGCCATACCTTTATTGGGAATTGAACCCAGTAAAGGTATGGCTAGCTGATGAGAGCTAAATAGCTTGAAATAGATCTATACTAGTCTCCCTTTATTTGTTTATCAGCACAAATAAAAATAACACACACACACACACACACACACACACACACACACACACACACACACACACACATATATATATATATATATATATATTACACAATATCAGCAACAGGTTTAACTTGCTTTTAATTGCCCAAGTTTCTTGTCTGCATAACTGTTGCAAGCAGCTGCTGAAGAAGAGCTACAACTTTTGATTACAATATACTTTCCATTCTTCCATTCCCACAGACTCCACAGTTTTAATGAATAATATTAATTTCATCAAATTACAATTCTCAGTTGTCAACGAATTTCGATTATTTACATTGCAGAGATGTAGTGTAAGCAGCTTAAAGCTACATACACAAGCGATGCTGATTCGTGATAGTTTGTTAATGTGTTTCGATTGCAATGATTTCAAATTTCAAGTGGGGAATTATATGACTGAAATTACTCTTGTTTATCCAAAAGCAAAATATAAGTAATCCTTTGGGCACAACTTGCACGCCAGTAAGAACTATAGGAAAGTGTTTCTGTTTTTTTTATATTTTTCCCCATACATTTAGAAGCCTTGTTTCTTGATTATGATGTAGCCACATTTAAATTAAGAGTTGTTTTTATTAGGGCCAAATTTCACCCACGTGTGGCCGCTGCATTAATTTTGCATTGATTTCGGTTAGGTTCGGGTCAGGAACAAATTCGGTTGCAACCAAAGTTGTGGAACGAATTATGGTCTTGACCAGAGGTTCTTCTGTAGTATGAATTGCTTATCTCTAAAAACAGCTTGCATGTTCTGTTGGTGCAAGTGGTACTTATTTAAATGAATTTAATTAACTCTCATGGTCATGAAATTTTACCTCGGTTGCTACATATGTTAGAATCTTCCTGGATTTGCATAATATACTGAGATGCAAACTACAGCATATTATATGAACATGCTCACATATGCTACTGTGAGAACAATTTCACTGGAAACCCAAAAAAAAGAACCTATCCTTAAGGTGTTTTTTGGGGTGGGTGGGAAGGATTTGGAATATATGATAGTCAAAGAGCCAGTTACTTTGCTCTAGTTAGAGTCTTGTGTTTAAATATAGAAGTGGAATAAGTGAAATGTGATAAAATTGAAACAGTACACCAGAGGTCTCCAAACTTGGCAACTTTAAGACTTGTGGACTTCAGCTCCCGGAATATCTTAGCAGGTCATGCTTACTGGGGAATAGTGGGAGTTGAAGTTCACAAGTCTTAAAGTTGCCAAGTTTGGAGACCTCTGGTGTACTGTTTCAATTTTATCACATTTCACTTATTCCACTTCTATATTTAAACACAAGACTCTAACTAGGCCAAAGTAACTGGCTCTTTGACTATC